TCGTAGAACCCCCAGGCTCAGCACCCCCAGTCGTAGCACCCCCAGGCTCAGCACCCCCAGTCGTAGCACCCCCACGCTCAGCATCCCCAGTCCCAGCACCACCAGAGTCAGCACCCCCAGGCTCAGCACCCTCAGTAGCACCAGAGTCAACAGCTACCCCAACAAGCTCGACTGCGTCTACCTGGGACACACCTGAGGGGGCAGGACCCTGAGGGGGAAGGGGGCCTACTGGGGGGGGACCTCGCACAAGGAAGAGCGGTGGCGGGGGGAGGGTTGGAGTGCGGTAGGGGATAAGACGGTAGTAGGGAACCGACTAGTCAAACGTGACGTCCTGGGAGGACAGAAGTCGGCGCGAGGTGGGGTGGTAGAACTGCCACCCTGGCGCATCAGGGGGGGAAGCCAAGGAAGACGCAGGGAGCAGCACGAGGGGACAGCTTGTCCGCAGACAAGTCGCGGACAAACGCTCGAGATCCCCACACACGGAACGCAGACGCATCGTCAACCTTCCCCGTCCACAGCAAAGCTGAGGAGGTCTCCGGCATGGAAACCCTGTGCTGAAGGTTGATCTGATGCGCCGCGTACCGAACCGCAAACGGCCACAGAAAATGGGGGGCAGCCGCATGCACCATGGACGTACGGGCGACGTCCATGACCATGCCAATGCGGCGCTCACCAATCCCATTTTGCTGTGGAGAGTCCGGAAGCGTGAAGGTCTGGCGGATGCCTCGTGCACGACAGTAGGCTCGCAGAAGGTCAGAGGAGAACTCTCCGCCTCGGTCGGAGTGCAGACGCAGAACAGGAAAGTCCGAGCCGAAACTCTTCCTGAGCTGGAGACGAGCCGCGCGGATCCAGTCGATCAACACCTCAGTGACATCACCCTTGCTGCGCAAGGGGAAGACTGTGGTGTAACGCGAGTAGTTGTCAACCACCAGCAGGAAGTAGCGCTCGTGACCCTGTCCACGGACGCGGGCTGGGCCCCACACGTCCATGTGAAGCGTCTGCAGTGGGGCCTCTGTCGGAGGAAACTGGGAGGAGTGAGGGGTAGCACGCTGCCGCCCCTCGACGCAGGGAACACAGGTAGGGGGGAGACCAGAGATCAGGACACGTGAGGCCATGCCTCGGAGACGAGGCAGGGAGGGGTGACAAAGGCGGTGGTGCCTGCGGAGAGTCTGGTGAGACAGGAGACGACACGAGCAGGGGGCAGACTCAGGAACAGACCTGGACGCTGCACCAAACACCTGACCCGACGCAGCTACCTGACCAGACGCAGGGACCGGAGGAGACTCAGTGGTAAGGGTGTACATGCTCGACCCCGGCCGACGGGTAAACGTGGCCAAGTGCCGGCCCGTCCGAGCACACGTGCAGTGGGTCACTCGCTGGCTCGCAAGAGTGAACTGGTGAACCCCCGCATCCTGTAGGTCAGCACCACTCACCAAGTTCGTAGAGAACGAGGGGAGGTAAAGACCAGACAGGGTGCCAGAGGGGGCCGCCGAACACGGTAGGACAGTGGAGAAGTGGGCAAGGACAGGACCCCCAGAGGGGTCTGCCAGAGAGACTGCAACTGGCCAACTAAGCGGCGTGAGTGTGGTGCGGTCTCGAAAGAAGGAGCGGGAAGCCCCTGAGTCAAGGGTGAAGGTGTGGGAGGCCGGAGCTGACGCGGTACCTGAGAGAGCAGACTCACCAACACCTGAGGAAGCAGACTCACTGGCACCTAGAGCAGGAGCCTCACCAGCTCCTAGAGCAGCAGCCTCACCAGTACCAAGAGCAGCAGTCCCAATGCCCGGGTCGGGCGGAAAACACCAGTAACAGTCACCCTCATCACTAATAGTCACAGCATACATGGCAGCAAGAATAGCATCATAATCAAGATCAAAGATAGGGACCCCCGCCCTAGACAGCTCGCCCCAGCGAGGGATCTCAGTGGCCTCAGGGAATTGGTGACGCCAAGCGTCCGTCAGGCGGCCAAAGCAGTGCTGGGTGGAGTGCGAACCCCCGCACGGCTCACCCGCGCGGTCGCCGGTGCGTAGGACGTAGGTACACGGACCAGTACCCCCACCTCGGTGACGTGCAGCGTACCACTCACGAAGCTGCTGAGGGGGAGGGAACTCACGAGTACGCTGCTGCTGCTGCTGGCGCTGACCAGACCGAAGCCGACCCTCTGCGCAGCGCCACCCCGACCAGCTCCACCTCCTCCGCCGCTACCTCCTCCACCGTCGCCACCTCCGCCACCTCCGCTCCCACCGCCACCGCCGCCGCCGCCTCCGCCTCCACCGCCGCCACCGAAGCCCCCACCCCCGCCACCACCCCCACCGCCACCCCCACCCCCTCCACCGCCTCCACCGCCGCTTCCACCGCCCCCGCTAGCTCCTCCCGAGCCCTTGCCCCCTTTGCCCTTGCCAGTGCAGCGTCTCCCGCTAGGGGCAGACGCCGCACCGACCGACTCAAGACCAACGAGGTCGGCTGCAGCAGTAGAGGCAACAGAGGGCAAGAGGGGAGAGGGGGAGCACCCCTCAAAGACAGGGGCACGAGGGTCACCACGAGAGGCTCCTACAGCAAATATGCTCTTCTCTGCTGCTAGGAGGCGCTCCTTGAGGAGGTCAACGGTGAGGGTGGTGGGGCAAACAGAGAGAAAGTGGTCCCTGACCGGGCGAAGAGTGTCAGGGAGGCGGGTGACTATGTAGTAGAGGGTGATGTACATAGGGGGGGGGTTCTTGGCGCAGAACTCAGCAGGAAGGGCAGCGCGGTAACGAATGTCACTAGTGTGAAGGTGCGTAATGAGGTCAGCGACTGTGGGAAAAGCGGCAAGGTCAGGGAAGAGGTACGGCAGGATGAGGCAGCTAAGTGCAGCAGTGGCAGGGGAAGACTAGCGTGCAACTACAGCGTCGTACAACGTCTTAGCTCTCTTGTACTGACTAAAGTGTGCACGCTCAGCGGTAGGCAAGTGGCGGCGCACAGCAAGACGGGCAGCAGCATCGCGTGTGGCCCACTGTGAGCGAACAGTGGCGTCAGCGTCAGCAGCAGGGGCAGGAGAGGCGCCAGAAGTGAGGTCAAAGAGGGAGAGACCGTCTGCCCTATCGCACTGTAGGAAAAGCTACAGGTCATCTACCCAGACGTCAAAGTCAATGGCCCGACCTTCAGCGTCAAAAGCGAGGACACTAGGGGTAGCCATGACAGCAGTAGACTAGCAGCGCGAGCAGCAGGCTAAGGGCAGTGCAGTGGTAGAGGCGCTACTCTTACCAGGCAGGTGAGAAGGAGCGAGGCTCGCCGGCAGGAACAGGGCCGCGATGGCAGTGACCGGGCGTAGCGGACAGAGCGGCTCGGGCGGCTCGGCTGCAACGGCAGCAACGGCGGCTCGGGGGCTCGTCAGCTCGGCGGCATCGGAGGCTCGGCGGCAACGGCGGCTCGGCGGCAACGGCGGCTCGGCGGCAGAGCGGCAACGGCGGCTCGTAAGCTCGGCGGCTCGGCAGCTCGGCGGCAACGGCGGCTCGGCTGCTCGGTGGTGACGGCGGGGCCGTGAAGGGCGGCAGAGCCGGTGAAGGGACGGCGGCGGGGCCGGGTGGGGCGGCGACGAGGCCGCTAAGGGCGGCGGCGAGGCCACGAAGGGTGGCGACCGGCGCCGCGAGGGTGGGGCCGCGGGGTCGCGAGGGTAGGGCGACGGGGCCTGTAGGGGCGGCACCGGGGCCGGTAAGAGCGGCGCCGGGGCCGCGAGGGTGGGGCGACGGGGCCGCGAGGGCGGCACGAAGGGGCCGCGAGGGCGGCTCGAAGAGGCTGCGAGGGCGACGCGAAGGGGCCGCGAGGGCGGCGCGAAGGGGCCGCGAGGGCGGCACGATGAGGCCGCGAGGGCGGCACGACGAGGCCGCGAGGGCGGCGCGACGCGACGGTGCCGCAAAGGCGGCGCGACGGGGCCGCAAGGGCGGCACGACGGAGCCGCGAGGGCGGCGCGACGCGACGGGGCCGCGAAGGCGGCTCGACGGGGCCGTAAGGGCGGCGCGACGGGGCCGCTAGGGGCCGAGAGAGAGGGGAGCGCGACTCGGGCAGGAGCTGAGTGCGCTCCGGGCAGGAAAAAAAAAAAAAAACGGTGGGCCCTAGGAACAGTTCCCACGAGGGAACCTGCTCGATACCATGTGAAATTGAAACGAGAATGATTGCATTGAGCAGCATGAGGAGTACAAGTACCAAACCCTAAAGTGTTGTACCCCATATAAGCTACCCCACTACAGCCTACACAGACTATAGTATATGAGTTTGACAGCATGCTCGGGCTGCATACCTTGCTCCGGCTGCACCACCTCCTTTCCCTTCTTGGCTAAGCTCAGGCGCTTAGGAATGGCCGCCCCACGTTTCCCGTTCGACAGACGACCTCGCGGCATCGTCAGCTGGTATGACGCTCGCAGGTACGCCAGCGGGAGTGAGACACGTCGCGACCGGCCTCCACCCCTCGTATCGTCGGAAGCAATTGAGGTATCCATGTTCACAAGGGAAGTGTGCAGTGAGTTGCTTTCACAATGACGCTCAATACGATATTTCTACACAAAGTTGGGGCCCCAAATTCTTAACACGCCGGAGCACCGTGTACACAATAAGTTTGGTAGGCAAAACTACCACGTACACATCTGGAAGAGCGCAATCCGAAACGACGAATAGATGCACACCACGTCAACGTACCTAGTGATGCATGTGTGCACAGCAGAACCACAGACTGCGCACATCCTGTTGACATAACCGTATCCATAGTCCTCGTTTGTGCTGCCATCAGGCTCGCAAACCGGTTCTCGGTATTCAGTGATTTCATACACCACTTCGTAAGATAGCACACCAAGTGCACGATTACACAACCGGATTACAACACATGTCGGTCACACCATGTACGCACACGTCGTAACGTTTATTACACATGCATACATGCACGCTACATCAAGCGCTGTACATTAGCAAGTGCAATACAAAACTTAGCAACTACGTGCACGACCTGTCTCCCATATGCTTTGTCTATACATCCACTATGCAGCAGGGCCTGACGTATTCTCATGTGCACCAGTGTCTTCCCCTCGCTCTTCCTGCTCATTGTTCTTTGCACCCCCGCCCTGCTCGCTCACAGGGGCCGTCCCCCCACTCTCCGCATTGTCGGGGACCTCTGGTTCGTTGGTAGCCATGGTGTTGCTATCCACCATCCTGTGCCTCTTTGATGTACCTGTGGCACCCCCACGCTTCCTGCCACGTTTCAGCTTGCTGCTCACGCTATCCAGCACCTCCCGCCAGCTCCTCCACCTCCACCACTTCCGCGCTTCCACCAGGATCTGCAAATCTTCTTTGGTGCAACCACGCAGCATCGCCTTCTCTGCGGCTGATAGGCTGACCGTGTTGGGTATCTTGTCACGTGGCCTCAGCACGAACGCACCTGCGGCGTACGCGAACGCCCCCTCTTCCTCCGTGGTGTACGCTCCCAGCCGCTGCTGCTTACGCTTTCCACCTTCCTTAATCAGGATCTTCATGCCGTACTTGCCGGACGCTTTATCCAACTTCACACCCGTGTATCTGGAGGCACACGCTTTGTCATCATCCTCCTCATCGTCTATGTCTGACACGAGATCCTCCTCCTCTTCGGCCTTCACCGTCTCCTTCCCTCGCGTGTCTCCCCACACGCCAGCTCCAGCTGGCACACCCGCCCCAAACTGGTGCATCCCGCGCGTGAACATCCAGTGAGGTATGGTCCCGTGCGCAAGGTGCGGGTTCTGCAGCAAGGTCGATGTCGGCTCACATGCAGCGAACGTGGAGGCCAGCACAACCCGGGTGGCATTGCGCACGCCATCCTCCTCAGGACTGCTGTCATCCCGCCCCTTATGTGCAGACGGACGCTGTGGAGTGCGTGGAGCATTCTTGGTGCCACCCGCCTCTGCTTTCGCGCCGGTCCCCGCGTGACCCCCATGCAGCAGTAGTTGGGTTGCAGCTGTCACCACCTCGTCCCGCCTCAGCCCTACAAAGTTGGCGAGTACGGTGAAGCTAGCGTCCAGGTACCTCACATCATTATTCAACGTCGCCAGTCGCCTCATCATCTCCGTAACCCGTGCGTCCTCCACAGGGCGAGTGACCGGAGCTTGCCTCCCCTCTCCCATAGCAGCGTTCCTCTCCTGCACCACTGCCCCCTCATCGGTAACCCGGCCTTCGTCCTGCGGGGGGATTTCAATCCCCAGGTCCGCCAGCTGTTTAATAAGATCTCCGCACGCGTGTGCACACAAGTCGCGCCGCATCTCCCGCCTGTATTGGTGCGGTGTCACACCCTGGAACCAGAGGCCGTACAAAACCGTGGTGAAGTCGGTATTCACCAGGGTCTTGAGGTACTGACAAACAAAAATCCCACAGTCCTCCTTGTTAGGCTGCTGTGGCAGCTTATCCTCCTGCAAATACGGGACCGCATATGCGAGTTAGAAATCAGTATACTTGCGACCGCTTACTGCACGTTGGTATTCACAGATTCCGGTTGCATGCTCACCCGTAGAATGATGCAGTCCGCCTCCGTCAGCATCTTGTCCACAAACTCCATGTTCGCGTTTGGGTTACTCGCCTTGGCGAGTTCGGACAGCACGCTGCACGCAAGAGGCCAGAGGCGTTTTTAAATACCGACCATCTACGACAACTGGAGACATTGTCATTAAAACCATGACTCACAGCTTGGTTCCTGCAACATCTTGCGGGTATTCCGATTCTTGATGGAACTGTCCAGCAAGACCAACGTCATGCGCTCCTTGCCCGTTGACTTCGATGACTTGGTGAGCACCGATGGACCTATAGCGATGACGAGGGAATAGTGTTCACTACGCTCAACATGAGGGGGGTTAAACAGATTAGTTGTTAGACAGTACACCCCGGCTCACAACAGAAACCACTCGCAAGCACTTTATGCAAGATACTCACGACTCGAGCACCGGGATCGCCAAATAATCGTGTTCCAGAAGCGGCCGCCTGTTTCCCAGCGTTACCGGCGCTCCATAGTCATTCGTCTGTGTGTAAGCCTTGCAGTCTATAGCGGCCCATGTCTTCCCATCACGGAGCTTTGGCTTCCTGATGCTAAGCAGCCTGTCGAGTGCACGAAAAAGTTCATATCAGCACATCAGGGTCTCACAATCCCAACCACTAGACCATTGGGATAAAAGGGCTTGTTTCAGTAGCGGGTCAGTGCGCCCATAACCCCCCAGGCAAACGTGCCTGTAACCCTTCCCTAGGATCGATCGGGGATCACCAGTGGACCTCTGACACCCCCCCGCACTGGGATGCCCGAAGTGCATACACCGGGATTCGAACCCGAGACCTTCGCTCTGATACCATCTCACAATCCCAACCACTAGACCATTGGGATAAAAGGGCTTGTTTCAGTAGCGGGTCAGTGCGCCCATAACCCCCCAGGCAAACGTGCCTGTAACCCTTCCCTAGGATCGATCGGGGATCACCAGTGGACCTCTGACACAGGGTCCGCGAGATCCGTAATAATCGCGCAACATGTCGCGTCAGGGGTGTGACTGTCGGAACGACACTTACACGTTGTGGAAGTCGATCACACCATCAGTAATCCACTGATCGTCCTCTATGGACATGAGGTCGTCCTTATCCACTTCACATCCGACACCGCGGTGATTCATGAGCTTCATGTTGCTGTACGATGATTTCGCATAATTCCGGGCGATCGTGGCCACCAAGTCGTCCGGCACCACCTCTCGCGCCTTTTCCACCACATGATTCGCAAACTTCTGAGCCCTATTGTCGGCCTTGTTCGACGACCTGGATCTGGTGATGGGCGGGGCAGCATCTTGGTCATCGGAGCTGCTGCTAGTCTCCGGTTCATAGAACCGGTTGCGTTTAGAGACCAACTGCTTATGTCTCGCCATCATGAACGAACACTGACAGGCATTCGGAAGACGAAGGGAGATTAATATGTGAGCACGGAGGGGATGACTGGGTGCGCACAGCAACTATGGGATCTCGCGACAATGGCACTATTCGGAAGGAAGGGGAGAGCAAGGCGTAACCCTGGCCTACAATGTCCAGCTGGTGCGAACGTCATGTATATACCCAATGGTCGACACCGTTGGCGCAACATCGCATGCGATGTCCGGGTGTGATGCGACACCGCATGCGATGTATTAGAGTGTACCTGAGGTACTCAGCAGTGGTCCTACTGCTGGCCCAGCTAGGGTTTCTTGGCTGTAGGATGACGGGGAACAGTTGCATGGTGTGCGAGACGGTGTTTAAGGACGACAGCAGGTTACAGTTGCATGTCGCTAATGGGGCAATTTGTCGCGAGGAGTTGAAGAGGAAACGAGAGAGTCTTTTGTGGGCGGCATATTTGGAAGCCATTGCCTGTGACGGAGAGAGTAGACCTAACACACCACCGGCATCCCGGCTTAAAAATAACGATGGCAGTTTTGTTTCTGCTGCTCCAACAGCTTCAATTCCCGAAGTTAGCCTTGTTGGAGACGTGGATACACGACCTGACGGCGAACCTGCCGAGTCCTCTGAAGACAGCGAAAGGAAGGAGATCTTTGATACACTGACGGAGTTGTACCTATTCTTCCGTGACGCCGATCTTTTGCACAGGGAAGTGAACCGTCTGCTGCACATTTTCCGCAACCCGCGCTTCAACCTACGGGCACTCAGACGATGGCGCAACTGGGTGGACGTGCGACGCTGGGGCATGGCGCGAGCTCCAGCCGACATGGTCCCGTGGAAAACGGAGGAGATAGTGGTGCAGGGCCCCAAAGGAATGCAAATAAAGCTGCTTCTGCACTTCCGCGACACAGAGCTGGTTCGTAATGGGAGGCCAACGCAGCTATGGATGTCGTAATGTAGTCTCGGCCGTATGCATTTCCATGGAATACACGCGCTCACACCTGATTCTAACGCGATGCCCGCAGATTTTGAAGAAGCTGGTGCGAACGTTCTCATCGAAGAAGGGGTTCGTTTGGAAACCAAGGAAGATTCATCGGAAGAAGAATTACGAGAGGGTTTTTGAAGGCCCTGAGACGGGTGATTGGATGCACTCTGCTCAGGTACGAGAATCGGTCAGCCTGTCCCTATTTCATGTGTGCAGCAGAACATGCTAGATGCATTCGAATAACCACATCTCACTATTCAGTGCGTTCTACATTGCAGAAGGAGATTAATGACGAAGAGGCACTCATTCTAGGCGTGTTGATATACAGTGATAGCACGCAGACATCACGGAATGGACGGAGGAACGCGTGGCCGGTGCTCATTTCACTTATTAACATACCAGAGGAATTGCGTGGAGTGGAGCCTGGGCACACATTGGCGGCGGTGCTTCCATTCCCACCTGAGTGGGCATCTCCTACGGAGAAGACGCGCGTTTTCCAGGAGGCACTAAAGATCATCCTCGCGCCCATCATACGAGAGTCTGCAAGGTACTTGGAGGGGAGGGGGGTGGGGAGGAGTACGCTACGATTGCAAGGGGCTGGGGGGCACCCCAGCAAGTAGGCAATGTGGGTTGAGTAATGTACATGTTCCATCGACTAACTGCATACCATGTGTGCATCACTACACTGTGCAGCGCTCCAGTTCGCTTCTTCTACTGCACAGATGCGGACGGGAAGGTGCACAAGGCGGTCCCTTGCCTGTACGGATACCCTGCCGACTTCCCGGAATCCAGCAGAGCATCTGCGACTCTTCAGAAAGGGTCACATCGGCCATGCGCTAACTGCTACGCAGACAAGGGGGAGTTGACCATGATGGTGGGAAAGGCCGATCCACGTACCCCAGAGAAGCAGAGGGACATTGTCCGCCAGATACTGGAGTTTAAGAAGAAAGGGGAGGCTGACGACCTACAGAAGTTATGGTCAACCCATCCGATCGAGGTGTGTTATGCCGATGGGTAGTTTGCTGGCTTGTAATACGCGGTGAACTCTTTAACAGCATTGTGTCTTCGGTTGGACCATGCAGTGTGTGCTTCACAGGTGGAATTTCGCAGACACAGAGTGGGGCAACGTGTACCTGGCATGCCTGGCAGACACACTGCATGTGCTGGACTCCGGTGTGCTGATCCACATGATGGACACCTACATCGAACTGCTTGGAAAGGTTGAGATGAGGCTACTTGAACGGTGAGCTTGGTGTGGTTGGGTGTGCCAGCGGGACATGCTCTACCATGGGTGGGTTAGTTGGGTAGTAGCACAGCCTGTGTGCCACCAGATGACCACCTGGAACCATGTATGTGCGCAGCCGCAAGAAGGAGTTCAAGGGAATCACGCCTAGCGTTCTCCTCCGAATCCCAGGGGGCTCATCGTTCTTCTGTTTCGGCGCAAACTACGCGGCGTTCGAGCAGAGGAGCATGATGCAGATAATGCCGATATTGGTGGCTGACAAGAGTGCGCTGAAGGGTGGAAAAGAGGGAGAGTTGCGTGCTTTGCAGGTCAAAGCGTTCAGGCTGTTTGCCGTGTTTTACAAGGCCTTTCTGGGGGTGGACAGGCACAATCACACAACAATTGCGATTGCCCGTCAGCATGCGATAGCATGAGTACATATATGCATATTCCGGATGTTTGGAGGGGGGAATGAGAGCGTATGCTAATTGTTTGTGCGGCCAATGTGGTGTAACACACGATGATGTATCGCGTGGTGTGTGTTATCGTGGACGCGTTGGCAGGTTGGTGGAGTTGCTACCGAGAGCATTTCCAACGCAGGCGTCCCACTGGAGACTCCCAAAGATACACATGATCAGGCATTTACTGGACAACGTTGTGCACCGTGGGATGCCGCACCACTATTCCACTGAAATGTGGGAGCGCACGCACAAGGGCACGGTTAAGGGTCCAGTAAGAGGGAGCAACTGGAGCGACATACCACGGCGCATTGTGGAGGAGGAGGTGCAGCGAGAGGTGTACCGTGAGGTGGCGGCAGACGCGGGGGGTGGGCGACAGTACGCGTCCGCTTTGCGCGAGGTGCGTAAGGGTGCATGTGGTACCATGCTGGGCATTGAGAGTAGTCCTTTAGTGCGGTTTACCATGGACGAATCGTGCCTCAAACAGTGTGCGGTTTGTTGTGGGAATGAGAGCGTGACATGCAGGCAATCAAGACGAGGAATCCCGTGCTTACAAAGAGGTATCGGACCATGTGCATAGGTGGAGTGACGGATCCGGTGTACAATGAGTACATCGCCGCGCTGGGAGACGAGATGAAGGGGATGTCAGATGAGTTCAAGGCGTTGGGTCAATGCACTCATGATGTTATGTGATGTTGGATTGGGTACTCTAGTCTGACAGGTGCACACGGCGGTGGCCATTCTGCGCACAAGAGGAGGAGAGCTGGTGGCCAAAGGGACATTTGTAAAGGCTTCTCCTCGAGAGAGGTGGTATTCGGACGTGGCACTGCTGAACAACAAGAAGGGGGGCTGGTATGCAAGATGTTTGTGCATCTTCAGGGCGGTTGACCTTGATGGGGAGTGGAAGGGGTACGCATATGTGAGGTACTATGAGGGGGCGGGAACATGCAAACTTACAGGGTGCCAGCAGCTGCACAAGAAAGTGGAGAAGGTGAGGTACTCGGAGTTGAGGAGCCTGCAGAGAGTTGTGCACGTGTGCCCTTCGTACAGTAACAATAAGGTGCAATTAGTGAACAAGTTTTTACTATGTGAGTGACGATGAATGTTGGTTGGGTGGAACGGCAGTGCTGATCCACGCGTTGGCAAACATTACGTGATACGTTTTAGGTGTGTAGAAGGCAGGATTGATGGGTAGAGGATTGCAGTAGGTGTACGATATTGTGTTCGGAAGTCTTGGGTTTGTAGGTATGGAGTGTTGCCGTTGGTGAAATGCCATGGACACGGATGATAAAATGTGCACTCATGTCCATGTCGGTATTATGGCCATTTAAAGCAAGCGTATGGCGCACAGATGTTCTTAGCAAAGTGTAGATGTTGGTGTTTGAACAAAATGATAATGGTGGTAGTAGTTGGCATATCAGGTCCATAACGGGTACTGGTACTGTTGACGTTTGTGCGGTCGAGGTTGACGCAATTCAATGTGTGGTGGTGTGAACGACCGAGAACGGGCCGTTGGCTGGGCAGATATGGGTGACGCGTACGTGGCGTAGAGGGTGCGAAATGGCCTATCTGAAAGTAACAGGTGGGCGTTTCACATGTGTGCGTTATCTTTGAGCGGCGCAGGGGTAGTGTTAGGTTGGTTGTGTGGCGCATGTCAACCACTGTACGTAGTGTGCGTACAGGAGCAACGTGGGGGTACGTTCCGGTAGAGGGAAACATATATAGTACGGGGTCATCCGACCTTCTATGCATACTTGCCAACCTGGGTGACAGAGTGCTACAATGGGTGACCTGAAGGGACTGCTGGCTACCGCGCACCCGGACGACGTGTTCTGCTTCCACGAGATTAATTTTCTTCCGAGTCGGCTTCCGAAGACATACATTCCGGATAAGCGCAATGGGGCGGAGCGGATTGTCAGCCTCGGCATTCTGTACAACGCGACGGGGAGTTGTTCCGTGGTGCCTCTGGTGGTTCTATCGCCGTACGATTGGCCCGAGCGCAGGCGGGGGAGGGCGGCATCGCGCCAGGTGGCCGTCCAGTATACGCACCGCGGCCGGTTGACGCCGGAGGTACGTAACCATGTATACTCAGTGTGCATAACGTTGGTTTGACGTGTGCAGCATATGTGTGCATACCGCTATTATGATGGAGTTGTGCTATCGGTGTCGGGTTTACTACACACAGGTGTTCACGGAGTTTGTGGAGACTGTCAATGGCGTGCACTTCAGCCGTGATCGCAACACCCTCATCCGAACCATACACGAGGCGCATCGCATCACCGGCGAGGTCGCGCGACCCGTCACGGAGCACGGCTTCAGCGTGCAGCACCTCACCAACACCCGAATCGTCAACATACGAGGGTCGGTTCCTGAAGGGGGCCTTCCGCACCTGCAGGGAACGGAGGATGCGCTGAAGGGTCATTATCGCGTTATGCTGATGAAGCGTGCGATAGCGGCGAAGCGGTTCCAGTTCGACTATTCGGCTTCCATCGCTGACGTGGATTATGGCCTCATGCTCGAGTGGCTGGGAGAATCGTGGACTCGTGTGCGCGCAGCAACCATGCAGAGGAGCTGGTGGCGCGCCGGATGCGTGCCCCCAAGCTGGCCGCCACTGATGGCGTACCTGAACGACACGTGCGCAACGGGCATGTTTGAGCCCCTCATTGCGACATGCGTCGAGCTGCAGTTGCTCATCGAGAAGTTCAAGATGAGGCCTGCGTGCTATATGACGGCGGCGGAGTTCGTCAACTGCGACGCGGGACTCTGCGTGGAGCAGGGGTTCAGAGCCACACCTGCTGCCAGCGCGTCGGATGACTCGTCGGGCGAGATGAGCCTGCCAGATGGCCCCTTACTGCGTGACGAGCGCAGCAGGCGGCGCGTGATTCGCAACGTCACAATGCGTACGTGGAGCGTGCCGATCAGCTCGGCATTCCCCCGGCCCTCGTGCCAGCAGAGGTCGGAGCATCTAACCAGGAGGTGATTTCCCGCCTCGGCAGGACACCAGTCAAGCGTGCGCGCGCGGGGCTGCGCATTGAGGACGTGGCAGACACAGCGGTGCGCGAGAGTGAGGACGACGAGTGATGCAGTTGTTTGTTGTGGGGCTTAGTAGTGGGAGTTGTGTGTGTGCGGTACCGTACGACTGGTTGACGGGGGTGGGGTTGTCTGGTTGATGTAATAGTGGTTGTGTTGCGAGTAAAGTTTGAATGGAATTTTCAAACCATGTTTGGCATTTGTGTGTAAGCGTTAACTTAGTTTGCGTTCAGATGTTATACAGTGACAGAATGGACGAACCGCACTTACCATAACGCGGACATTGGTTCGAGAAATTCGAGAGGGCGAATGCGACTCGGGGTGTAGGTGTGCGATTCGGGTTTTCGATAGCTTTGCGGTATTGTTACTGCGTAGTCAGTATTTTGCAGATGATGCACGCGCGCGTTCTTGGAGTGCGGAATGTTGCGATTTGAGTGCATTGTTTTCACGCAGCTTTTCGCAGCATTCTCGCAAGGCCGACGCAGAAAACCCTTCGAGGGCCAAAAAACGATATATAACGAAATAAACATATAATTTCTGTCATCTCCCCGTCATCACTGATGGGAACGCCAAGTGGGTGCACCTGGCGTGAGCCTTGAATTCGATTGAAAGTCAACCGTTTTCTGTCGTCTCTTCGTCACTGCAGGGCGAACGGGTACACCAAGTGGGTGCACCTGGCGTGGCAGGCGATCGCGCTGATCCTAGCGGCAGCGGGGCTGGCGTCTATCATCGTGGCCAAGAACTATTCAGACAGCAAGCACATGTACTCTGTGCATGCCTACTGTGGGGTGCTCACCCTCGCGCTCTTTGTTATCCAGGTCAGTGCCTGTGCGCGTTCGTACCGCTCAGAAGCAATTTGATCCCTGCGCCGCAGTTCTTTTGGGGCCTGTGCGCGTTTGTGCCGTTCAAGAGCCGCCTGGCTGACTTTTGAGTCAACTCAAGAGTCAAACTCGTGAGTTCTCCTCACCGTGCTTTATGTTCCATGGTGTGGCATGCTGTGTGCTCTGCTGTCCTCTCCCTGCGCCGCAGTTCTTCTGGGGCCTGTGCGCGTTCGTTCTCTTCAAGAGCCGCCTGTCCGAAGCAACGCGGTACCAGATGGGCACCTACCACATCCTGCTTGGGAAGCTCGCTTACTACGCCGGCATTGGCACATGCGTGGTGAGTTCACCTACCTGGCTGGTTCGTGCATGGTCAGTGCATTAGCGGTTTCCATCAAGTGACTTTTGAGTTGACTCAAAAGTCACGTGCGTGGTGAGTTCACTTACTTGCCTGGTTCGTGCGTGGTCAGTGCTGCAACAGTTGCTGTTAGCATGCTGCTACTGTCCAGGTTCCATTGCAGACTCCATCCCCTGCATTTGTCCCTTGATTATGTGCAGTAGATGTTAGGTAGGGGGAGGTAAGGCAGGTGAGAGGGAGGGAAGACATGAGGTGTGTGCTATCCGCATCTCTACACATGTTTGAACAGTTGAGCAGATAACGTAATGCTAGAACATGTTTTTTCCTCCTTACCCAGGCTATCAAATACCATATGTTGTGCTGCCTTTCGTCGGCCTGTTTGTAACGCACAGAACGGGTTCGCGGACATGCAGATGATGATGGTGGATTCAGGGCAGCCGTCGTACGACAGTTCGACCATGGCTCAGAGCTGGGCCGCCGTCTTCCTCTGGTTCACATCGGCTGCTGTGTTCTGTGTCATGACAACTTCCAGGACCGCCGAGGTCGTCACTGACTTTGAAGAGAAGGATGCTGAGAATAATGTCGCAGTGTAGTTTTGAGTTGCATCAGAGCTCACAGCGGTGAAATTACTTGAGGAATTGCAGGCCAGGGTTGTTTTTTTTCGCCTTGATGAAGAACACCCATCCATGTAGATCGGTGATATGTACGTAAGCCAGTCGTCTGTACTACTTGCATTGAACAATTTGTTCGCACGCTAGTCGAACAACCAACATGTTTTAGCTGGGACTCATTATAAGCTTCACAAATAAGGTTTCTACAAGCCCAACAAATATTGGTAAGAGGTAAGATCAGTGTGGGAAGCATCCTGAAGTATGCTACAAAGCTTCGTCAGAACCGGATATGTACATCATGACGCGGATATGTACCCTAACGAGCTTCAACGTGATGCGGATAAGTTTGCGATTACGAGTATGTACGATTGATCGGCAAGACCCAGACATATCGTACCATGATGTACGAACTACGCTGACTGTGGTTCCCATAGATTTATCCGCCCAAAGATGAGCCACTTACAGGTCGCCACGCGACCAGCACCGGCGCAATGATTGGCCACACGCCAGCTCCCAGCGCAAAAGTCCCTTCCCGAGCCGCGTAGATTCTTATGTATGCGTTGACACGATTAAATTGCGGCGCGCGGTACGAGGGGAACAGCCAATCTTCGCTCGTCCTGGCGGAAAGCTACAGATCCAACGACCACGATTTTGTGTGCATGGGTTGTGGGGGGAAGGTGAAGACTGAGGGTGGAGATCGGAAGGGGGAAGGTGCGGAGCGGAGGGAATTTCAGCGGCGTGCGGGCGACGACGAGACAAAATGAGATTTCCCAGAGGGGACAGTTTCCGAAGTATCTTTCGACCACACGCCGTACGAACTTCTCACCGTAGAATCGTCGCTCGTAACATCCGATTCCGAGGCTCCCCGCAGCGCCATCAAGCGCGCGGTTGAGCAATCAGCACAACCCTTGCGCCCGCCTTACGCCCAGCATCCCTCCTTCCGCCTGACGCGATCGACGCGACGCGACAGGGGTTGCGGCGACAGCACGACGGGGGTCGTGACGTGGCGTGACGAATGCCAGGATGACGAGCGAAGGACGAAGAGGAGAGAGAGGGAGAGGAGAGACAGGAACAGAACAAGAGCGGAGCGAGAGAGAGAGAGAGAGAGTAAGAGAGAGGGCGGGGATCGATCATGGTGGGGGAAGACACACCGGGGATGTCTCCCCTCCCCCAATCTAGCGAGACTCCCCTCCCCTCATTCCGAATGGTTGACATGGAAGTTGAAATAAGGCCGTCAGCCACGTTCATTATCGCCAATCTCGAGACACAGTCGCGAGTTGTCAGCGTCGTGAGGGACGTCGTGAGGGACTGAAGCGACACTCGACGCCCAGACGTCAGCCTCTCACTCTCGTCGTGGTCGCGATCAGGGTTCCAGCTCTCACTCCTTCACCCGCCTGCAAGCCTCGCCAGTTTATCCCCGCCCTCGATCCGCGCGCGTTTCTTCGTGAGCCACCGTCGCTCGTCGCCCACCGTCGCCCACCGTCGCCCGCCGTCGCCCGCCGTCACCCGCCGTCGCCCGCCGTCGCCCGCCGTCGCCAGCATGGGGTCGCACACGCTCACGGCACCCGTGCGCGTGTTCTCGTGGACCGCGCGTCTCCTGGAGCTCGTCTTCCTGGCGCTGCTCATCACCTTCGTCGCCTACCTCTCCAAGGACCAGACCGCCGCGCCGCTCGCCGTGTACGGCGGGCTGTCCGCGTGCTTCAACTGCGACAACGGCTGGAACTGGCACGTGCTACTCATGGGCATCGCCTTCGGCATCGCCATGACCGAGTCCCTCCTCACCTTCTGCTCCTCCTCTCTCAGGTACATTGGTAACCCACTTCTTCCGTCTGTGGCACGTGCTGCTCATGGTTGTCGCGTTGGTGGTTTTTGAGTCGACTAAATGGTGCTCGAACGGGTGGAACTGGCACGTGCTGGCCGGTACCCACCTCGCACTCGCCCTACCTGGCTCTTGTCTGGCACGTGCTGCTCTCATGGGCAGCGCCTTCCGCATCGCCATGACCGAATCCCTCCTCACCTTCTGCTCCGGCTCTCTCAGGTGTACAGCCCATCCTCGCCTCCACGTGCTGCTGCGCTGCTCCGGGGCTTTGCTTTCGTGTCCCCATGACGATTTTTGAGGCACCTAAAAAAACGTGCTGCTCTGGGCTTTTCTTTCGTGTACCCATGGCTCAGTCCCTTCCCCCGCGCTTTCTGCTGCCACTCGGTGGGCTGATTCTAAAAGCTCGGAAGCTGCTCTTTCCTTCCTTCCTTCCTCGCGTTTTCATCACGAGACAGGAGTGTTTTTGCATGCTGATCACATTCAGCTTGTCCGCACCTGTGACTAAGCCGTGCGCGATTGCAACGTCTCTGTCGCGGTCACTGCAGGGCGGCCGGGTGCAGCAAGTGGGTGCACCAAGTGGGTGGCGTGGCCTTTGAATCGACTGAAAGTCAACCCGTGTGACTGACTGTACCGTTTCTCTCGTCCGTCTCCCCGTCACTGCAGGGCGACCGGGTATGCCAAGTGGGTGCATCTGGCGTGGCAGACGATCGCACTCATTCTGACGGCAGTGGCGATGGCGGCTATTATTGTCGCCAAGGGGACGGAGCACAAGCACATGTACTCTGTGCATACCTACTGTGGCGTGCTCACGCTCGCACTCTTTGCTGTCCAGGTGAGTGGATGTTTTTGTCCCGGATGCGATGCTTCGCCATCCCCTGCTGCTTTATATGCACTGGCATCATGATTTTCAGCAGATTTGATATGGTGTGTTCTGGTCTGATCTGCTTGTATCTCATCTGATCATCGTGAGGGACACGGGCACTAATAATACGGTTATTTATCTCCACTTTCTCCTTTCAGACGCATGGACTTTCCTCGTTCAGTTTTTTCTCCCATGCTGTGTGCTCTGCTGCCCTCTCCCTCCCTCCGCACTGCAGTTCTTTTGGGGGCTGTGTGCGTTCGTGCTGTTGAAGAGCCGCGTGCTCGATGATTTGCAGGGTGTTGTGAAGAATTCTGAAAAGCACCCTGCTGTGTGCCATTCTGTGTACATGCCTGCTGCCCTCTCCCCTCCCCTCTCTCCGCACTGCAGTTCTTCTGGGCCCTGTGTGCGTCTGTGCTGTTCAATAGCTGCCTGTCAGAACCGAGTGTTGAGACGTCTCAAAGCTCTCAAAACTCCATGTCGTATGGCTGCCTGCCGCCCTCTCCCTCTTCCTCGCCCTCCCCCTTTCCCTCGCCCTCTCCCTACATTACACTGCAGTTTTTTTGGGGGCTGTGTGCGTTTGTGCTCTTCAAAAGCCGCCTGTCGGAAGCCACGCGGTACCAGATGGGCACCTACCACATCCTGCTCGGCAAGTTCACCTACTATGCTGGCATCGGCACGTGCGTGGTGAGTGTGACACTGCAGGTAGTACCACTGAGCATTCTGTCACTGCCGCACTGCACTGTGTGGGTGCTGAAGCCACGCGGTACCAGATGGGCACGTACCACATCATCCTGCTCGGCAAGTTCACCTACTATGCTGGCATCGGCACGTGCGTGGTGAGTGTGACACTGCAGGTAGTACCACTGAGCATTCTGTCACTGCCGCACTGCACTGTGTGGGTGCTGAAGCCACGCGGTACCAGATGGGCACGTACCACATCATCCTGCTCGGCAAGTTCACCTACTATGCTGGCATCGGCACGTGCGTGGTGAGTGTTTCAGCAGTCACCTGAAGCATGCTTGCTGCTGCTGTGCTTGGTGAATGCTGAACTTTGCCCTGCCTTCCACTCCCTTTTGTGGAAGATGCTGCGAGGGAGGGGAGGGGAGGGCTGGAAACAGAGTGATTGGGGTTCTCTTTTCCGCTTCTCACTGATGGCCTCAAACGCCTTGTCTTTTTCTGCCATGTTGCTGCTTCTTTTAATGTGCAGAATGGGTTCGCGGACATGCAGATGATGATGGTGCATTCAGGCCAGCCGAATTACGGCAGTGCAAGCATGGCTCAGAACTGGGCCTCGCTCTTTCTCTGGTTCGTCTCCGCTGCAGTATTCGGCGCCATGACAACTTCTAGGACCGCCGAGCTAGTCACTGACCCTGATGAGAAGGATACTAAGAAAGTTGCGGTGTAGTTTTGAGTTGCGTTATGCACACAGCGGTAGGATTATTTACCATGTCACTCAGGCTTGGCTTCCCCAACACAATGCACATAAGAAATCGAATAGTTTAAATTGTGTACCTGTAAAAGTGTCTGTATTACGCCTTTTCGGCTGTCACCGTGATTCACGGATGTGAATTTGAAGGCCACGGAGTGAAGCTACATGCAACGATTCGCGACTCGCAATTATATCTCACAAGAATTCCACCTTCCATCCAGCACGATTATTCGAATCGAAATGAGTGACGGACGGCCACGATGACGACACTTGCTCCCGCTGCCAGCCACCCCACCTTCAACCCATTCCGTTCCTGCTTGTCAGTATACAAAAGGTCTTGTGAAGGATTCTTACTAGAGCTCAAACACCTGAATGCTCGACAGCACTATCGCCATATGTATTCCAGCGTGACGGCTCAATTCTTGAAGCCCCTCAAATATTGTTTCTTCGCGAGTTTTTTTCCAGGAGCATAATTGGGTGCGAAACGTACCCTCGCTTCATTGCATACTAAGACTCAAGTCCTCAGTCCGGCAACTGCCTAAATCTAGAACAGAGCCTGCTCTTAGCCTGCTTCGCATCGCCAGACGCGGCGTGGTTCGCCGATGGCTGAATTTCACGAGCAAATCGCCCTCTTTCTCGGTGCGTAGTAGTAGCGGTGCGGTGATCCGAGCGACTGACTGTGGTTAGGAGGGACCCAACACAGCGCGCCGATTCCTTCAAGATCTTTTGCACCCGCTCAGGAGCCGGACAGGGATGACAATTTGCTGAGCCATCGTGGCGGGATCACATGTCCAAAACTCCCGAAACGAGTTAGGGCGGCCGTGCGATGACGCGAAATGGGTCTAAGGAGAATGCAGAAAGAAGTTTAGGGAAGCGCGGCTGAAAAAAAAGATGAAAAAAAAAGAGAGAAAAAAACATATATGCCCAGATTCTCCTCCCAACCTCACCCTCTCACCCCACTTACCTTTCCTCACCCCTTCGCCCTTTGCGCACGGAATGCAGTGGTCGCTGCGCTGTTGGTGCTCGCGCTGACGGGGCACGGCCAGGATCAAGGTGAGCTGCCATTTCGCGTCTCTCATTCGACGCAAGACCCACCTGTTTCAGGCTGCTGGTGCCGCTGCCTCACTCACGTATCATGTTTCACAATCTAAACTCAACTGCTTAGTACGGCTGTTGGTGCTCGGGCTGACCAGACAACCAGAGGACCACGTAGGACATTTTTAAGAGTTCTAAGAATCCTCCTGCATAATTACAGAATAATGGGGCCCGTTATTCACGCACAGTCACAACCACACTCACAATCACACCCACACTCACAGTTAAAATTCACATTCACACTCACACTCACACTCACAATCACACTCACATTCACACCCGCATTCACTCACATTTACGTTCACATCTGTTAATCTCCAAAGATGTATGACGCAGCTACGTGCTTCCCTTTCCCCACGCACCCAACCTGTCGTTTGCAGGCCAAGCGACCAAAATAGCGCACCTCGAGCATCCCGACCCACCCACACCAGCCCATCTCCCCTCAGCTAATGCGACAGCAAAACCAAACCACACGCTCGTTCCTCCCCCGACCATCGCGACTGGGGCAGCATCATCTCTCCCCGCAGGGGTGCTGTCAGATAGCGCCGTCCCCAGGCAGTACCTCGCCGGCGCGGCAGCGGTGGGCGGCAGTGGCGGCAGCGGCGGAAGCGCGTCGGTGCAGGAGATTTACGCGAAGCTGACGGGGCGACAGGTGGTGCCGGCGCGCGGAGATCCCAAAGCCTACGGCTTCCTGAACGCCACCATCCATAGGTGAGAGTTGCGGCGGTACAGTGCGGTACAGTGTGTTACAGTGCGGTACAGTGCGTTGCGCTGCGATCCGTCGCGTCGAGCTGCGTGCTTTACTAGCTATTACCAGCGGTTCCGCCATTCTCGAAAGACGAGGAAAGGAACCCGTGCGCGTCGGGCGTTTTTTTTGGCCTTTCTGCGCAACCCGAACTCTTCAATGCCGCAGCTGCCGGCATTGAAACCCCTCCATCATCATACTCCGCAGAGACTCGAGCGAAACGGTCTGGGTGGAATACAACGCGATTCTCAAGGGGCTGTCCCGACGAAATTATGGTGGCGTTAAGTTATTTCTTTCCTGTTCTGTCGTTACGTAACCAACCGCGTCTCCTGAACTCGGCAGAGACTCCAACGGGCTGTTCCGGTTGGAATACAAGGTGATCATCATCGGGCTCTCGCGCGAGGGAATGCGGAGAAAGTTGCTTCTCGGTGAGTGAGAAATCAAGCACCAATCCCAAACGCCCCTCCCAAACTTGGCAGAGATTCCAGCGGAGCGCTCCGGCTGGAATACAAGGTGATCATCATCGGGCTCTCGCGCGACGCGCCGCCGCGGAAGATGAGCGCGCACCGCGGGAGGAAGGGCGAGGCGGGCGCGCACCATGAGCGCCTCCTGGACCTGCCGTGCGGCCCCACGGGGCGCCGCGCCGGTCGCCACGCCGCAGATAGCGCTTCCCTGACGGTGACCTGCGCTGGCGCGGTCGGGGGGAGCGCGGAGGAGCTGCGCGTCGAAACGGGGAGGGGCGCGGGGGAACACGAGGCGGGGAAGGGTGACCGTTTCGGTAACACTACTGGTAGTACCAGTAATGAAGCTAGTACTACCTACTTCGCGTCGAGTGAGCGAGACCAGCACTTGCTTTGGGATGCGGTGCGGGTGATTCTGCAAGAGCCGGAGAGTTATTATGTGACAGTCAGTACCACGCATTACGCCGGCGGCGCCATTCGCGGGCAGCTCGGGAGGGTGTTCGGGCAGGAAGTGTAATGGCCCGTTGAAGACGCAGGGAAATGGGAGGGAAAAGGTAACTATGCCAACTACAAAGTGGGGTGTCAGTCACACATGCATGGGTCGGGTGCGGTTGGGCTGTTTATTGAAATTGAGAGACCCGAAGGGGTTTGGGGGAGGTTTGTGTCTAGGTTAGGGATGGGTTTCGGGGATGCGATGAAAGTTAGCAAGCGACAATATTTCTGGATAAATGTGCAATGTGCACTACCATGTTACATGCTATGACTACAGAAAACATGCTATTTGATGTGGTGTTGGACCCACAAGTACACCTCGAGAATGTACAAAATAGGAGAATTATCTGTTCGGAACGATAGTGGTGGTGGTGAACCCACCAGGAGTGACAGTAGTGGTGGTCACTGTAGCCGATGGCATTCGAGCAGCAGCAGCTGCCGCTGCAGACGCATTGGCAACAGCAGCAGCACCAACATCAGCCTCAGCTCCACCCCCCCCAAACCCTCCAGCCCTAAACCCCTGAGCAGTGTGAGGGTTGAGGGGATTGGAGATGTTGGCAGCAGCAGGAGGGGTGAGTGTGCCGGGAGGGGGGCCAGTGGAGGAGAGGAGCTGTGACAGCAGTGCTGCAAAGGACGACGGTTGCCCAGTGGGACCCGGCGGTGGCCCTGATCCGCCGCCACCTCTTCCTGCCGCCCAGCCCATTCCTGCCGCCCAGCCTCTTCCTGCAGCCCCACTTAGCCCTGCCGCCCATCCACTTCCTGCCACCCCACCTACTCCAGCTGCCCCGCCCCTTACTGCCAATCCACCTCGCCCTACTGCTTCCCATCCCCTTCCTGCTGCCCCGCCCCTTACTGCCAATCCACCTCGCCCTACTGCTTCCCATCCCCTTCCTGCTGCCCTGCCCCTTCCTGCCAACCCACCTCGGCCTGCCAGCATGGCTCCTCCACCTCCTCTCAGCCCTGAAAACCCACCTCGCCCCCGTCCCGTGCCCCCTCCTCGCCCACCACCTCTTACCCCAAATCCCCCTCTCCTCCCGCGTTTTGCACCCACCATCGCCCCGCCCTGCTCCTCACCCCTGCGCCTCTTCCTGCCCCGCCCCCCCCGTGCCCCTTCCTCCAGTGCCCCCTCTACCCATCCGCCCCACAGTCCCCCGTGTTCCAGCCCGTACCCCAGTCCCCCTTTTATTCACCCACGCTTGCCGCAGCCCTCCCCCTTGCCTCCCCACTGCCGGCTTCTCCTCCCACTCCTCCTTACTGCCATCCTCGTTATAAGACGCGTCACTGTTGCTGTTATCTTCATCCTCGACAGATCTGCTCGACTCTTGACTGTCACTCCCGCTGCTGCCACCGCTGCTGCCACTGCTGCTGCCACCGCTGCTGCCGCCGCTGCTGCTGCCACCACTACCACTGCTGCCACTGGAACTCGCCTCAGTCCTATGCCCCATACTGCCACCGTACTCCACCTCATCCCACTCCTGCTTCACCTGCAACCCAGCCCCCCATCGCACGACCGCTTCCCTCCCTCTCCCCGCTCCTGCCCCTCTCCCACCACCTCTCCCTCTTCCCCCACCTACCCCAGCCCCCCTTACTCCCACTCTCCCACCACCACCTCCCCCTTCCCCACCGCCACTACCCCTACCAGCACCACGCTCCCCTCCCACACACACAGCACGCACAGCCAAGAGGGTATCCCACGCCCCTACCATCTGCCGCACCCCCACCACACCCGACCGCATCCACCACTGCCACCCCTCGTCCTGCTCCCACGCCCCCTCCCCACCCCCCCCCACCTCCACTTCCCCCACCTCCACTCCCTCCTCCTGCACCTCTCTCCCCTCCCACCACATTGCCGGCCACCCTTCCTCCTCCCTCCCCCCCCCCCCGCTCCCTCTCCCACGCCTCTCTCCCCCCCTCCTCCCTCGCCACCTCTTCTCTCCCCCGCTTTCTCTCGCTGTTCTCGGAGCACTCTCGCATGCTCCTGCCAGCGCTTATAGAAGGCATCAGAGGACAGCATTTCTCGGCGCCGCCGGGCCAATCTTAGCTCCGCCTCGCTCCCGCCAGTCATCCCGCCAATCATGCCCCCTAAACCGTCTATAACCCCAACAGCAGCGCCTACACCCCCACCAGCAGCACCAGTAGTACCAGCAGCGCTGGCAGCGCTAGCAGGAGAAGCAGAAGAGAGGCGGGACCAGGAGGAGAGCAGGGACGGGTGCGCTTCTGACAGAGACCCCACACGCACGTCTGCTAACTCTGACAGGATCCCCTCTGCTGTGGTCACAGGCGCGGGCACAAGCGTTGCTGCTGCTGCTGCTGCTGCTGCTGCTCCCCACCTCGTGCCTGCTCCACCCGGCGCAAGAGAAGAAGAAGCAAGAGACGGCGGCACCACCCGCGCCCCAGGCAGGTTTGAGAGGGAATGCAGATGCTGGGAGCGAGTGACTCTCGCCCCATGCCCTCCTGCCTGCTCATCCCCACTGGAGGCCCCTGAGTCATGGAGCTGGAAGTGAGTGCTTCGCCCGGCCATACCCCCAAAACCACCACCGCCATCGCTACCAGAGTCGTCACCATCGCCCCCACCTCCATCCTCCCCTCCATCCCCATCCCCATCCCCACTCGCCGCTCTCCTGCTCCTTCCCCTCCCCCTCTCCCCCTCGCTTTCCTCGTCCCCAGAGTCCTCGACCTCCTCTCCCCCCTTCTGCCCCCGTTTCATGCGCATTTTCCTCCGCCACAGCCGGTCAGCCATTCTCACCAGAGCATCCACCTCCTCCTGCCTCACATGAAACGTCTCATCCAGAATCCCTCTCAACCCCTCCGGTTCGCACTCCCCCTCACCTCCCGCTCCTCCTGCCGCTCCTCCCCCCGCTCCTCCCCCCGCTCCTCCCCCCGCTCCTCCCCCCGCTCCTCCCCCCGCTCCTTCCCCCGTTCCTCCACCCGTTCCTCCCCCCATTCCTTCCCCCGGTCCTTCTCCTCCCACCCCTCCTCCTCCCGCTCCACCCCCTTTCCGCGCGGCTCGCCCAGCAACGAATGCTTCGAGCTGGTGGCGCACCAGGAAGCACCGCAGCCAGCTGGTGCTGTAGCGGAACGAGGGGGACACGCCCACCAGCGGGCCCAGGCGCTTCGCATATGCCAGTATCTGAGGGACCGTCATCAGCGGGGCAGGGGGGGCAGCTGTCGCTGCTGCTGCTGTGGCTTCGCCTTCTGCTCCTGCCACTCCTGCTCCCCCCCCTCCTGCTGCCCCTGCTCCCTCTCCTCCCACTCCTCCCGCTCCTCTTCCTGTTCCCCCCGCTCCTCCTCCTGCTACTGCCCCTTCTCCCCCTCCATCTCCATCCCCTGCCGCCCCACCCTCTCCCACTCCCTCCCCACCCCGCTCCCCGCCCATCCTAGCTGCAGCCTCCCGCACAGCCATAGCAAGAGCCTCCTCTAGCTGCACCTCTCTGCCCTTCCGCGCCCGCACCATGCCCCGCTGCATCGTCTCCCTCATAACCCCCTCCATGCTCAGCATATTGGCCGCTTTCAACCGCTCTAGCTTCACATTGTACCGCTTCTGCAGGGTCTGGTGGACAATCACATGGGGTAGGTCAGGGCGGGCGCGGTAGACGGCGCACGCGGCCAGCTTCAGCGGCAGCGGCACCTGCATCCGCTGCTTCACACCACCACCGGTGTTACCACCACCGCCGCTGTTACCACCATCGCTACCGTTACCCCCATCGTTATTACCGTCATGGTTCAGAGGCCCCCTCCCTCCCTTCCTGCCTCCTTTCCTGCCTCCTTTCGTGCCTCCTTTCCTTGGCAGCAGCCCCTCGTCCAGCAGTGGCACGGCGACCCCTGCGTTGATCCGCGCCACCAGATCCATGATCCTCCCTGCCAGCTCATCCGCCTCCCGCGCTGCTGCCGCCTTTTCTGCTTCCTTTCCTGCCGCCTTTTCTGCTTCCTTTCCTGCCGCCTTTTCTGCTTCCTTTCCTGCCGCCTTTTCTGCTTCCTTTCCTGCTGTTGCTGCACTTCCTGCTGCTGCTGCTGCTGCTGCTGCATTCCCTGCTGCTGCCTCCCGTCCTCCTGCTGCCTCCCCTCCTTCTGTCCCTCCCCCTCCGGCCTCCCCTCCTCCCGCCTCCCCTCCCTCCTCCCTTCCCTCCTCGTCCCCCCTTTCCTCATCCCCCTCGCCCTCACCGCCCGCATCAGTACTAGCACCATCGTCTGTAGTAACCCCTCCCCTCTCTCCATCCGTCCCTCCCTCATCCCCTTCCCCCTGACCCTCCCCCGCCTCCCTCTCCCCCTCGCCCTCCCCATTCCCGTACCCACCCACCCCAGGTTCCCCGCCCTTTGCCACATCCCTCCTAATACTCTTCAGATTCAACCCCTGCCGGCGCAAAAACCTTGCCACCCAACCATGGCTGTAAGTAAAGGTTTTACGCACGCCCATGCGTGGCCCTAGCTGCTTCGCATACCCTTTCACATCCTCATACACTAAAACGTCCTCCCCATACTTGCCCTTCATTTCACGCACCCACTCTGAGAGCGCCCTCTCAAATTCCGGGTATTTCGGCTTTCTATACCGGAAACGAGTTTCCATGTCCTGAGACCGGAGGTAATAGTCCCTCTGGCTCAGCATTTTGCGAATGTTGCAGTACGGTACGCTCTCGAGCAACTTACCCTCACATTCCTGGGTAACCAGCCGCAATAGCCCCTTGACCCGCAACTCAGGCACAGCCTGCTGGAGCAAGCACATGGCTCGTTTGAACTTCACTGTGAGGTTGAAATGCCGCCGAGTCTGGTACTTCATTCCCCGCCGCGACTCCCGTCCACCTCTCCCCACCTGCTGCTGCCGCCGCCGCTGCCTCTGCTGCCGTGCTGGCTGCTTTTTCCCAGGAACACCAGACGCAGCACCAGCAGCAGCAGGTCCAGCAGGGACGGACAGAATATCCCCGGCAGCAGCAATGGCAGCAGCAGGCAGGGCTCCCGTGGCTTCAGCCAGAGCAAGGGAGGCCAGGTCGCCCCTCACACGGAGAGACCCGCCCTCATCTGATATCGTGCCGTCTGCAATCGCCTCTGCTAGAGCCAATTCTGCTAGGGTGGGGCGGGGGAAGCGATCTGCTAGGGTGGTGGTTTGAGGAGTGGGAGTGTGTGGGCCTATCCCCCCCTCATGCACCGCTCCTTCCTCTCGCACCCCTTCTTCCCCACGCACTTCCCTTCCCTCCTGTGTTTCCACCGCTTGTCCCATTTCCTCCCCTCCACCCTCACCGTCCCTCTCCTCCTCCCTCTCCTCCTCTCTCTCCCCCCCCTCCTCATCCCCGTCTTCCCCCTCCTCATCCCCGTCCTCCCCACTCCCTCCCCCGCCCTCCTCATCCTCCTCACTCTCCAAATCGATCACCTCGCGTCCATCCGCAGTCCACTCCCTCTGCCTCCTCCTCCTCCGACCCCTACCTCCCCGCCCAGCCTCCCTAATCTCCGGCCCAAACATCCGATCAGCAAGCTCCAAAAGTGAAGGGCCAGGATTCTCCCCCTCAGCAGCAGCAGCACCCCCACCCCCACCCCCACCCCCACCCCCACCCCCACCCGCTCCCTCCCCCTCCCCGTCGTCGTCCTCCTCCTCTTCCTGAAAGTGTGCCTCCCTAGCTGCATCCAGGTGTTTCTTTGAGAACCCCCACCGCTCTTGAAACCGCATCACCCATCCGGTGCTGTACCTGCAGGTGGGTTGGGAGAGCACAGGAGGGGCGGTGGCAGCGGAAGCAACGGGGTTAGAGCATAGAGCACACCAATTTCTAAGCTGTGTGCACCTTTTTTAAAGTTTGAAGTTGAGGGTTTCGTGTTTCGAGTTCAAGGATAGGAGCTGAAAATCCGCTGGCACTCACTTGAAATCCGCTGGCACTCACTTGAAATCCGCTGGCACTCACTTGAAATCCGCTGGCACTCACTTGAAATCCGCCGGGGCGCCATGCAGCGGGCCAAGCTCCCGGGCCTTGCCAGAGACTCTAGACAGCGGAATGCGGCCGTGCATGCGCTCCTGCTTGTACCACGCTGCCAGAGCCTCCTCGAGCGCGTAGCAGTCGGGCATGCGCACGCGCATGTTGTGCACAAACCTCACGTTCCGCTCGTCAAACCACCGGCTCTCGTCCCTTATGATCTTGGTCACGTGCGACGACTCCATGCGCAGCCCAGGGAAGCGAATCTGCAAAGGAGAGGGGGAGGGGTTGGGGAGGATAGGGGTTGAGGAGAGTGGGAGTGGGGAGAGGGGTTGGGAAGAGGGGTTGGGAAAAGGGGTTAGGAAGAGGGGTTGAGGAGAGGGAGAGCGCCCCTCCTTGTACCACGCTGCCAGGGCCTCCTCGAGCGCGTAGCAGTCGGGCATGCGCACGCGCATGTTGTGCACAAACCTCACGTTCCGCTCGTCAAACCACCGGCTCTCGTCCCTTATGATCTTGGTCACGTGCGACGACTCCATGCGCAGCCCAGGGAAGCGAATCTGCAAAGGAGAGGGGGGAGGGGTTGGGGAGGGGGGTTGGGGAGAGGGGTTGGTGAGAGGGGTTGAGGGGAGGGGTTGGGGAGAGGGGTTGAGGGGAGGGGTTGGGAAGAGCGGTTGCAGAGAGGGGGGAGTGGGGCTGGGGAGAAGGATTGGCGCCCATCCTTTATGATCTTGGTCACGTGCGACGACTCCATTCGCAGCCCAGGGAAGCGTTGCTGCAAAGGAGGGGGAGGGAAGAGAGGGGCCGGGAGTAGAGGAAAGAGGAGTGGGGGAAGCGGGGAATGTGGGGAGGGGAGGTAGGTGGGTGGGGGTGGACTGGGGTGCTTGATGCTCACACACACGCTTGATGCTCGCACACACGCTTGTTGCGTGTCACGCACACGCTTGTTGCGTGTCACGCACACGCTTGCTGTGCGTGAACCTGACGCTCCAGTCGTCAGTCCGCCGGCTCTCCACCGGCACACATCTCCCGCTTGGTCGGCACATCCAGCTTGTTCTGCCTCGCATGCCTTTTGAGGCGCCTCAAAACTCGCCTGCCCTGCTAGATACCGCTCCACCACCTCACCTGCAACAGCTGGATGATGTTGGCGTGGGTCAACCCCGGGCGCAAGCGCTTGAGGGCGCACATCTCCCGCTTGGTCGGCACATCCAGCTTGTTCTGCCTCAGGTGCGCCTCTGCTAGGTACCACATTCACCACTCTCACACCATGCACCACTCTCACACCATGCGCCGCTCTCACACCATGCACCGCTCTCACACCATGCACCGCTCTCACCTGCAGCAGCTGGATGATGTTGGCGTGGGTGAGGCCCGGGCGCAAGCGCTTGAGGGCGCACATCTCCCTCTTGGTCGGCACATCCAGCTTGTTCTGCCTCTTCGGCCGCCCCTTCCGCAGCCGAATCGGTCGCCACTCCCCCTCGTCCTCCACCCCACCCTCCCCCGCTGCTGCTGCCCCCCCTCCTGCTGCTGCCCCCCCTCCTGCTGCTGCCCCCCCTCCTGCTGCTGCCCCCCCTCCTGCTGCTGCCCCCCCTCCTGCTGCTGCCCCCCCTCCTGCTGCTGCCCCCCCTCCTGCTGCTGCCTCACCTTGCACGCCTGCTGCTGCCCGTTCCGTTCCCACCCCGTCCGCTCCTGCTGCTGCTATTGCTGCTGCTGCCGTCACTGCATCTGCTCGTCCTCCCGCCGCTCCTCCCGCCTCTTGTACTCTCTCGGACGGCCACGGCTCAGTGCCATCATCACCGTCACCATCATCGTCATCCTCATCCAAGGGCATGCTCCCCATCTCAATCTCCCAATCCACTCCTCCGTCCAGCCCTTCTCCTGCTGCTGCCGCCACTGCGGCCGTCGTTGCTCCTCCTCTTCCTGCTGCTGCTGGCGCTGCTCCTGCAAGTGTTTGTGCTGCAGCAGCAGCAGCAGAAGCAGGGCCAGAAGCAGCAGCACCACCAACAGCAGCACCAGCAGCAGGAGCAGCATCCAGAGCACCGCTTTCAAGATCAAGTGCAGCACGGGCAGCGGCAAGCCCAGCAAGATATCCTGCAGAAAATCCCCTGCCTCTGCCTCTTCCCCTGCCCCTGCCCATGCGCCCGCCCATGCCATTACCCACGCCCCTACCCGTTCCCACAGGTATACCGCCACCTCTGCCCCCTGGCATGCCTCTACCCATGTCCATACCCATGCCTCTACCCATGTCCCTACCCATGCCTCTGCCCATGTCCATACCCATGCCTCTACCCATGTCCCTACCCATGCCTCTGCCCATGTCCATACCCATGCCTCTACCCATGTCCCCAGCCATGCCCCCAGGCATGAACCTACCCATGCCAATACCCATGTCCCTAGCCATGTCCCTACCCATGCCCTCGCCCATGCCCCCATCCATGCCCCTACCCATGCCCCTACCCATAACTCTGCCCATGCCCCCACCCATGCCCCTACCCATAACTCTGCCCATGCCTCTGCCCTGCCCCACCAACAAAGCTCCCCCACCCCTTCCTCTTCCCCCAGCTACCACGCTGCTTCTCCCACCAACGCCAGCAGCACCTGCATCAGCGGTAGCAGCACCAACACCAACAACACCAGCCGCACCTGCATCAACAGTAGCAGCCTCATCGCCAGTACCAGTGGCGCCAGCAGCAGCAGCAAGTGAACCAGGCACGGCAGCAGCAGCAGTGGTGGTGGTGGGAGCACCAGAAACAGGAGCAGCACCAGCAGCCGCAGAAGCAGCAGCAGGAGGGCCAGCAGCAGCAGCAGCAGCAGCAGCAGCAAGAGCGATATTCTGACCCCTGGCCATACCCTCGCCTTGCCCCAGCCTCCCTGGCCCCTCGTCTCTCCTCCCCACCCCTTCTTCGAGTTCCCCACCTCCCGTTCCCCTGGCCATTTCCCTTCCCCTGCCCCTCCCCCTCCCCCTTCCGCTTCCCCTGCCTCTCCCCCTCCCGCTTCTCCCTGTTTCCCTTCCGCCACCCCCAGGTGCTGACGATGGGAGGGCATGGGCGTGAGTGGGAGGAGGGGAAGAGTCGTGAGTCGATTCAAAAGGCACCGATGCCGGGGGGAGGGTGTGCATGTGGGTGGGGGGATGAGGGGGATGGGGAGCTGCTTCTGGCATGGAATACGGCCTGACATGCTCACGACTTGGAAGTTGCGCAGAAGCTTCGCGTCCAGGAAGGAGCGCAGAAGGCGTTGCTGCAGAACCCTGAATGGCAGGGGCTACTACTACTGCTGAGGTTTGCTGCTGCTGCTCTTGCTGCTGCTGCCGAGCCTGTTGCTGCTGCTGTTCCTGCTGCCGCTGTTGCCGCCGCTGTCGCTGCTGCTGCGGTTGCTGTCTCAGTTGCTCTTGCGGCTGCTGCTGCAGCCACCCCCGCTGCTGCTGCTGTTGCTGTTGCTGCCGCACCTGCTGCTGCTGCTGTGGAGGGTGGGGAAGTGCTGTGTGCGTGTTGCCAGTCCAGTTCACTCGTTGCCATCGTGCACCCACACTGGCGGCAGCGGCAGCAGTGGCAGCAGTGGCAGCAGTGGTACCAGCAGTGGCAGCAGCAGCAGCAGCAGCAGCAGTGCCGGCAGTGGCAGAAGCAACAGGAGCGGCAGCAGCAGCACCGGCAGCAGCGGGGCGGAAGGCAGCGGTGGTGATGGCTTCAGCGGCCTCTTCACCCCGCAGATCAAGCTCGTCCATGTCCACGTCAGCACCGTCCATGTCCACGTCAGTGCCGTCCATGTCCACATCAGCACCGTCCATCAGCTCTGAATCTGATGCTTCGTCCGCACTGTCCACTGCCACGTCAGCTGCTGCTGTTGTTGTTGTTGCGGCTGCTACTGCTGCCGCACCAGAAAATTGCGCGATTGGGCTTGCAGTGTGCCCCGAAATTGGGTCTTCTTGCCGCTCTGCCTGCCACCGCTGCTGCTGCTGCTGCTGCTGCTGCTGCTGCTGCTGCTGCTGCTGCTGCTGCTGCTGCTGCTGCTGCTGCTGCTGGTAGTGGTGGTGGTGGTGCTGCTGTTGTTGATAATTTTGATGCTCTATTGGTTGCTGCTGCTGCTGCTCTTGTTGGGATTCTGGCTGCTGATCCTGTCCGTGCTGCACCTGCTGCTGTGCCAACTGTTCCTGCCACTGCTGCCATAGAAAATGCTGCTGTTGCTGCTGCTGCTGCTCCTGCTGTTGCTGTTGCTGTAGCTGTCGCTGTCGCTGCCTCTCCTGCTCCTGCTGCTGTTGTTGCTGCCGCTGTCGCTGCCTCTCTTGCTCCTGCTGCAGTTGTTGCTGTCGCTGCCTTTCTTGCTCCTGCTGCAGTTGTTGCTGTCGCTGCCTCTCTTGCTCCTGCTGCAGTTGTTGCTGTCGCTGCCTCTCTTGCTCCTGCTGCAGTTGCTGCTGTCGCAGCATCTCTTGTTCCTGCTGCAGTTGTTGCTGTTGCTGCCTCTCTTGCTCCTGCTGCAGTTGTTGTTGTCGCTGCCTCTCTTGCTCCTGCTGCAGTTGCTGCTGTCTCTGTCGCAGCATCTCTTGCTCCTGCTGCTGCAGCTGCAGCTGCTCTTGCTCTTGCTGCTGCACCTCTTGTTGTTGCTGTTGCTGCAGCAGCAACAACAGTTGCTCATCATCTAACCGCTGCTGCTGCAGGAGCTCCCGCGGCTGCTGTCGCTGCTGCTGTGGCTGCTGCAGCAGCTGTTGCTGCTTCTGTTGCAACAACAGCTGCTGCTGCTGCTGCTGCCGCTGCTGCCAGTCATCCACATACCGCACGTCAGCTGGGGTCACCTCTCCTCTCCCCCCTCGCAACCCCCCATCCCCTTGCTGCCTCCCTTGCAACGCCTGCAAGCCACCACCACCATTTTCCCTGTACTCGTTACTGTGAAACTGCATATCGTTAAGACCCTCTCCTTGAACCCTTTCACGGCCTTCCGGGTGCTCTTGAAGCCGCTCATACCCCATATTAGCACCACCCGTTTCAAGCGTAGGCACTTGACCGCTCGCCCTGGTATCTGCAGTTGCGCTGTCCCTAGTAACCTGAATCAGCTCACCTTCCCCTATCGCATCAAGCCACCACTCTCGCCGAGGCTGCTGACGTGGCACGGGCTGTCCACGCGCTACAGGCTCCTGAAACGGGTGTTGAAGTGGGGCGGGCTCTTGAAACGGCTGGTGACGTGGCACGGACTCCTGACGCGCATGCTGACGTGGCAGCGGCTCCTGACGTGGCTGCCCATGAAGCATGGGCTCCAGGCTCCGCCGCGACACCTGTGCCACGCCTTGCGGCATCACAACATCTGGCTGCATCCGAGCTTCGGGCGGCACCACCTGTGCGGCCATGCCCTGTGCTGCCATGGCCTGTGGTGCCATGTCATAAGGTGTCATGACTTGTCGTATTAGAGCTTGCGGTGGTGCCACGCCTTGCGGGGTCACGTGGTGACTCGAAGCACTGCCATACGCGTCCCTTGCGCCAACGCTGCGCCCGCGCCCTTCGCGCCCGTCTCTCCCCTCGCGCCACTCGCCACCCCCATGCCCCACATGCCCCCCATGCCCCCCGTGCCCCTCATTCCCCTCTTGCGCCTCAGCAGGTCGAAACGCCTCAGTTCGCCCAGCACGCGCAGAACCAGAAGCCATGCCCACGCCAGCAAGCGGGCCCACTGTCGGCTCATGGCTCAAGCCACGGTTTAAGCCGCGGTTCAAGGCGGTGAGCAAGTCTTGATCTCCCGCCCCTGTCTCCAACTCACGACTGCGCAGGCCTATCTCACCCATTGCCGCCGTACCCGCAACTCCCATGCCTGCCGTTGCCATGCCTCTCCTGTCCGAGCCTGTCCTTCCCGGACCTGCCATATCCGTGTTTGCCAGTCCTGTGCCTGACATTCCAATGCCTGCTCTTCCCGTACCTGCTGGTTCCGCGAAGCCTGCAGCCGCAAAAGCCTCAGGCGCAGTGTTTCGAGCGCTGTGGCCCGCCATTGCAATAACCGCTGCTTCTGCTCCATCTTGCGCTGCTACCAACCTAGCCCCGGTCGCCCCTCCTACAACCGCCAATCCGCCTGCTGGGGTAACTCCCGACCCTGCAGACGCTAACAATTCCGTCGCGGTATCTGTCCATAGCCCTGTCCTGTTTCCTAGCGAAGCAGCCAATATCGCGTCTGCCACGGAGGCAATAACACTTGCTTGCTCGCGATTTGTTTGCAGTTGACTGGCGAGACTCGTTTGCAGCTGGTTCGGCGTCGTACTCGTTTGAAACTGATTCGTTAGACTCGTTTGGAGCTGGTTTCCCGTACTCGCTTGTAGCTGACGCCAGAAGGCGAGAATGTCTTGAACTCCAACGTCTCTGTCTAGAGGAGCGGCTTGCGGCCCTGAAGATGTCGCCGTCACGTGATTGGCTGGTGGGTCGGCGGGACTTTCCTGCGCGACGGAGGGCCATGCGACAGCCGAAGCCTCCTGAAGGCGATGTTGCTGGTTGTGGTAACCACCTTCCTGCTGCTGAAATTGTTGATGGTACACTTGCTGCTGCTGCTGCTGTTGGTAAGCTTGTTGCTGAGGCTGGTTCTCTTGCTGCTGGTAACCCTGTTGCTGCTGTTGATAGCCCTGTCGATGCTGCTGATTTTGGTTGTGCTGTTGCTGATAGATAACTTGTTCCTGCTGTGGCTGCTGCTGCTGCTGCTGCGGCTGCTGCTGCTGCGGTTGTTGCAGTTGTTGCTGTTGTTGCTGATAACCATGCTGGAGCTGCAGTTGCTGAGGATACTGCTGCTGAGGTGGATATTGCTGATGAGGTTGCTGCTGTGGCTGCTGCTGCTGGTACAGTTGCTGATGCAAGTTAGCAAACGGTGCTTCAACGGAGGGCGATCGGCCTATGGAACCCAGAAACGGAAACGTATTCCGTTGAGTCCTATCCGCCATTGCGTCAACTTAAGAAGTTATCAGAGACTATTGGGGAGGTGAAACAATGACAAAGAAAATGCGCGAGCGTCAGAGAGGGGTCCAGCGAGTGGAAGTGAGGAAATCAGCTTTACACGGCATGATGGGCGGGGGTGACTCGATAAGTGGCTGGGAGCGGTTAGGTTTCGAAACATGATCTGGTAACCACGGTAGCCGAAACCCCATTGTACCTGAGGCGATGCTCATCAGAGCCACTAGTGGTTGCACCTTTTTCCCAAGCTCAAGTCACCCTAGGGAACACCCGAGCCCAGTTTGTAACCTTGGCGGGGAGCAGGGAGGCGTGCAAACTGGGTTTGGCGGGAATCGACAGGCTGGGGTTTGGTTCGGCATAGTTCTGCCGCCGAGTCGAGTTGTGAATTTTCGCAAAACAAAACACGGAATCGACAGTCGAGCGTTGTTCACGGTAAGTGTCTCGTAAGAACTTGCGCTGACAATTGTGTGTTCACTGTCATTCATTCAGAATCAAAATGATACCATAAAGAAGTTCTTTCCGCAGCATTTCAAGCACTCTCTGCACTGCACCCGGTCTTTTTTATGAACGAAGGCCACCTTGGATCCTCCCTATGGTTGGACTATACAAATCATACAAACAGAAGCTACCGCAGCTGTCCCGGTGAGTGAAGTGTAGTGGGGTGGACTACTGGGGGAAGCTCATCAACAAAGCCAACCCTAGCCATAATGTATATTTACATACCGTAATCTCCCGGACAAAACACCCCCCCATGATAGTACACCCCCGGGTAGCTTGTGCGGGGTGGGTGCTATGGGCGACCTCGTTTCTACTATACCCCCCTTTTTGGATGATTTTCTATAACACCCCCCTTTTCTTACGGATTCCTATTATAGTTGTTATCGAGTCTGATTCCTTACAGGGGAATATCGCGAGAATTGCTTCCTAAATGAAATTTCGCGCGTACTTGCACTTAGAATCCGCCAACATTTCCCCCTCCCACAATCTCACTGTCGCCACCCTGGCGAATCTTTCGCTGCAAGTGGACATTTCCCCCATCCCACATTCTAGGAAGTTGCCACGCTGGCGAATCTTCCGCTGCAAGTGGCCCGAAAGGTGAAACTCACATTCTTGCCAAAACTCACATTCTCGCCTCAAACTGTGATGTTAAAACGACCATTGAAACACCCAAACTGTCTAATTTGAGAATCCTCTTGCATTAAAATATACCATATATAACCACCCGGGTATTATATAGGATTTTCCGTTGAGAGGACCCCCCCCCTTTTTTCCCTGTGGTTATCATAATACCCCCGGGTGTTATGTCCGGGAGAATACGGTATCAGCTAGCTTCCCCACAGTGACATACTAGAGAATGATTGACTTCAAGGCCCCTTAAAGCTTGCGGCCCAAATTGCGGGCCGCGCTGGGCAACCTTAGTAAGGTTGATTGATAGTTGTTTTGCAGGTGCTGGTTTTGCGAATTGAGGTTACGGGTTGTACGAAGGAAGTTGATTGGCTAGTCAATTTGAAACACTGAGCTGATTGGCTAGCAAAATCGAAACAGTGTTTACGGAGGGGGTTGGGTGGGAAACCGGCAAGGATAGTAATTGAGCAATATGGGACTCATGCAACCAAACGCGAAGTGGCCCCTGGGGTCTACTGAGTCAGCGAAATGTGTTTGAGATTGGCGAGAAGTTGGGCGAAACCAAAGCCCTCAACCCACCCAACACCTCGACTAGCCAACCCTGCTCCCTCACCTCTCAACATGCAACTTTAGAAAAGTTGTACAATTTGGGCCGCGAGCTTTAACTGAACTCCCTAAACTCCCACTTCCCTTAGTGACCTGGCTTCCACTATAAACCCCAGCTTACCTTTCCTCTCCAACGCACACCGTCTCCTCCCCTTCTCCCCCACCTTCGCCTTCATCAAGCCACCCCTCGCGACGCCCTGTCTCAGCCTCGGGCATCCCAACCCGAGCCTCCTGCCGAGCCAGCAGCTGGGCCCACCGAGCCTCGAAGGCTCGGTCGAGAGCGAGAGCCTCCTCCCTGTGGCGCCTGAAGGCCTCTGCCTTGGCGCTCTGGTGCTCCTGCTGCAGCCTCTGCACCTCCCGGCTGTACGCCACTGCTTCCTGGCAGCTTCCCTCTAGATGCTTGATTCCAGTCCAAAGACCAGCAGCGTCGTCTCTCTCTGCCTTTGCTCCCCTGGTCGTATCTCCTCCCTCCTCTCCCTCATTCCCCGCTCCTTTTTCACCAGCTGAAGCAGTGGAAGCAGAAGGGCGAGCAGCAGTACCGTCAGCAGCAGTAGTGGCAGAAGCAGTGGCCGAAGCAGCAGCGGCCAAGGCCAGGATCTGCTCTTCGCACGCAGCTCTCCATCTCCTCCGCCACTCCACCTCCCTCCCTGCAAGCACCTGCAGCCGCCCCTCCACCTGCTGCTGCTGCACGTCATATGCCGCCTCCAGGCCGTCCAGCTGGCAGGAAATGGATGGGAGAGATAAGGAAATAGAAGCTGTGGTGAGCGGAGAAATGGAGGGCATTTGCCTTGGCTCGCCCCTGCACCTGCTGTTGCTGCACGTCAAACGAGGCCTCCAGGCTGTCCAGCTGGCAGGAATTGGATGGGCAGGAGAAAGATATAAGTGGACGTGGGAGCTGAAGTGGAGGGCTGTGGCCTTGGCTTGCCCGGCTCCCCACCTGCTGCTGCTGCTGCATGTCAGGCACCTAAGAATCAGCAGAAGAAGTTAAAAAATCTCCTAAAACACTGAAGAGTCAGGGAGAGGGAGAGAAGGAGAGCAGAGATGGGGAGAAGGGAGAGCAGGGAAGGCAGTACAAAGTAATCCATGCAACTCTGCTCATTCACACCCACAACATCTCACCGCATCCCACTTTATCCAACCGCACTGTACCTCATTCCAGTGCCTCTGCTCTGCCTCCACTGCCGTCTGCCACAGCGACAGCACCTCCTGCTCACTCGCGCCCACCGCAGATGCCACTTCCACCAGACGCGCCCGCACACCCTGCTCCTTCCAAGTTGACTCAGAAGCTTGCTCACTCGCGCCCACCCCACATGCAGCCTCCACTAGAGACGTTCTCACGCCCTGCTCGTCGTTTTCTGGCGATCTCCCCTCCATCTGAAGCTCACTCTTAGCCTCCTCCGTCTCCTTCCCAGGCTGCTGCTGCTCCTCCGTCTCCTTCCCAGGCTGCTGCTGCTCCTCCGTCTCCTTCCCAGGCTGCTGCTGCTCCTCCGTCTCCTTCCCAGGCTGCTGCTGCTCCTCCGTCTCCTTCCCAGGCTGCTGCTGCTCCTCCGCATGCTTCTGCTCCCTCTCACGCTGCTGCTCCTCTGTGTGTTGCTGTCCTGTAGCGCAATCTTTGCCCACTACAGCTGCTTGGCATCCCCACCCATCCTGCACTGCTACAGCTGCTTGGCATCCCCACCCATCCTGCACTGCTACAGCTGCAGCAGCTGCACACTCTTCATCCGCTACAGCTACTTGGTTCCCCCATCCATCCTGCATTGTTACTTGGGATTTACTCCGCAGCTGCTGGACCGGGGCTGCTTTACCAGCTGCCCACTGCTGCGGAGGGTACTTTGGCCAGGCACCCTCCAGCATCGCCAGAAGCTTCCTGTTGGCTTCCTTGGCCTGCGCTAGCTCCGCCTGGAGCTGAGACGCTGCCACTTGTCCCGACACGATTCGATGAGACATCTGAACAGGGAGGGAATCAACAGATAAAAAAACACGGCGGCAGTGGGAAAGGCTGAAGGGAAAAGGGAGAGAGTGGGAAAGGCTGAGGGGAAAAGGGAGAGAGTGGGAAAGGCTGAAGGGAAAAGGAAGAGAGGAAATAGTCGTCTCAAAGACGATGCTCGAGCTTGGAAGGGATTAGCTGGCCGCTTGAAAGGAAGATGGGGAGAGTGAGAACGGCTGGAATGCCGGAAAGTGAGAGAGGCGAGGGGAGGAAGCGCGAGAGAGCACCAGGGGGAAAGGCAACAGAAGAAGCACGTTAATCTCATCTCATCTCACCATGTGGCAACAGAAGAAGCACGTTAATCTCATCTCATCTCACCGTGTGGAAACAGAAGAAGCACGTTAATCTCATCTCATCTCACCGTGTGGCAACAGAAGAAGCACGTTAATCTCATCTCATCTCACCGTGTGGCAACAGAAGAAGCACGTTCATCTCATCTCACCGTGTGGCAACAGAAGAAGCACGTTAATCTCATCTCATCTCACCGTGTGGCAACAGAAGAAGCACGTTAATCTCATCTCATCTCACCGTGTGGCAACAGTATCATTTCACCGTGTGCAATTCAGTCCCACCATTGCAACAATTATATTTCACCATTAGCAGTTTCATCTTACCATGGACGCAGTTTCTTCTTACCATGGAAGCAGTTTCATCTTACCATGGAAGCAGTTTCATCTCATCATGGCAACAGTTTCATCTCACCACGGCAACAGTTTCATCTCACCATGGCAACAGTTTCAGCACATAATGGCAACAGTGTCATCTCACCATGGCAACAGTTTCATCTCACAATGGCAACAGTTTCATCTCACCATGCCAGCAGTTTCATCTCACCATGGCAACAGTGGCCTCCAGATTGGGCGCTTGAGCAGCCCGTTCTCGCACCGCTCTCAACCGCTCATCCACCACTGCATACCGCTTCTTCACATCCACTCTCAGCTGCGTCTTCCCTGCGAGGTGACATGCGTGGGATGGGGCATGACAGGGCATGGGGAATAGATGAATACACATGGTCAGTGGGAGGCTATGGCATGGAAGGGTAGGGGGGTGTGGCATGGAGGGGAAAAGTGGCATGCATGCCATGTGTCACGATCCGTGTGCCATGTGCCATGCGCCATGCGCCATGTGCCATGTGCCATGTGCCATGCGCCATGCGCCATGTGCCATGTGCCATGTGCCATGTGCCATGTGCCATGCGCCATGTGCCATGTGCCATGTGCCATGTGCCATGCGCCATGCGCCATGCGCCATGTGCCATGTGCCATGTGCCATGCGCCATGCGCCATGTGCCATGTGCCATGTGCCATGTGCCATGTGCCATGCGCCATGCGCCATGCGCCATGTGCCATGCGCCATGTGCCATGTGCCATGTGCCATGTGCCATGTGCCATGCGCCATGCGCCATGTGCCATGTGCCATGTGCCATGTGCCATGCGCCATGCGCCATGCGCCATGCGCCATGTGCCATGCGCCATGCGCCATGCGCCATGTGCCATGTGCCATGTGCCATGCGCCATGTGCCATGCGCCATGTGCCATGCGCCATGCGCCATGTGCCATGTGCCATGTGCCATGCGCCATGTGCCATGTGCCATGTGCCATGCGCCATGCGCCATGTGCCATGTGCCATGTGCCATGTGCCATGTGCCATGTGCCATGCGCCATGCGCCATGCGCCATGTGCCATGCGCCATGTGCCATGTGCCATGTGCCATGTGCCATGTGCCATGCGCCATGCGCCATGTGCCATGTGCCATGTGCCATGTGCCATGTGCCATGCGCCATGCGCCATGCGCCATGTGCCATGCGCCATGCGCCATGCGCCATGTGCCATGTGCCATGCGCCATGTGCCATGTGCCATGTGCCATGTGCCATGCGCCATGTGCCATGTGCCATGTGCCATGCGCCATGTGCCATGCGGCATGCACAAGCTGCCATGTGCAATGTAATGTGCCCATGCGCCATTCGTCACGGGCCATGCGCCATGGATAAAGGACATGGATTTCTATTTCTTTGAAAGGAAGGATATACATTCCCCTCATGCCTCATCTCCCCTTCCCCCATCACCCCTCCTGCCCGCCAGCAAACTAAAGCAGAGCCCTCAACCCCCTCACCTCTCCCCCCCCTCAACCTCGCCTTGCTAATCCATCCAAGCATTGCAACAGCTTCGCTTCTCCTCAACCCCTTACCTTCCTTTTCACCCACTTTCTAAAAAAACATTAGCTGCTCCCGTTTTCTGATTTCCCTTCTCACCCTTATCTTCCCCACCCCCCTTCTGCCCACTTCCTATCCTCCGCCCGCACCCTCCTGTGCCATGTACGCAAAACAGGCTTCTGACCCACCCTTGAACCCACCCCAAAGCCACCCTCGAACCCACCCCAAACCCACCCTCGAACCCACCCCAAACCCACCTTTGGTGTGCCTATTAAACTCTGCGACGTCACCCTCCTGTGCCATGTAAGCAAACAGGTTCCGCTTGCCGCTTTTGTCCACTAGCGACGTTGCTGTCCGGCGAATCCAGCCCTGCCGCCCCCTGCCGTCCGCCTGAAAGAGCTCACACAGCTGCTCAGCCTGCAGCAGCCCATCCACTGACGCTTCAAAGACCAGCACACTCATGCCGCGATGGCCCTGGGAGGAGACGGGAAAATGGGAGGGGAAAGGGGGGTTAGAACGGGTGAGCGGAGTCAAGAGCTCACAAAGTGACTTTTGGGAGAGCGGAGGGGAAAATGAGTCTTGAGTCGCCTCAAAAGTGACTTTTGGGAGAGGGGAAAATGAGTATTGAGTCGCCTCAAAAGTGACTTTTGGGAGAGCGGAGGGGAAAATGAGTCTTGAGTCGCCTCAAAAGTGACTTTTGGGAGAGCGGAGGGGAAAATGAGTCTTGAGTCGCCTCAAAAGTGACTTTTGGGAGAGCGGAGGGGAAAATGAGTCTTGAGTCGCCTCAAAAGTGACTTTTGGGAGAGCGGAGGGGAAAATGAGTCTTGAGTCGCCTCAAAAGTGACTTTTGGGAGAGCGGAGGGGAAAATGAGTCTTGAGTCGCCTCAAAAGTGACTTTTGGGAGAGCGGAGGGGAAAATGAGTCTTGAGTCGCCTCAAAAGTGACTTTTGGGAGAGCGGAGGGGAAAATGAGTCTTGAGTCGCCTCAAAAGTGACTTTTGGGAGAGCGGAGGGGAAAATGAGTCTTGAGTCGCCTCAAAAGTGACTTTTGGGAGAGCGGAGGGGAAAATGAGTCTTGAGTCGCCTCAAAAGTGACTTTTGGGAGAGCGGAGGGGAAAATGAGTCTTGAGTCGCCTCAAAAGTGACTTTTGGGAGAGCGGAGGGGAAAATGAGTCTTGAGTCGCCTCAAAAGTGACTTTTGGGAGAGCGGAGGGGAAAATGAGTCTTGAGTCGCCTCAAAAGTGACTTTTGGGAGAG